TGACACTTATAGTTCCTGAGATAAAATCGTGCTAAGCAATTGTGGTGATTTATCAATTTTTCTTTTTTTCTGAGTGCCTTTTTCCATAGATTTTGGCTTCAGATCTGAGAATAATTTAGTTTATGGAGTTCAGGGTATCACGAGGGACCAATAGGACACAAAATCTCGACAAAAAAAAATTTGAAATTTCATCGTTTTAGTAGGAAGGTACCCCCCTTATGATTTTTTTGGAAAATTTTGAAAAGTCATAACTTTTTTTCTATTATAGATAGAAAGCTGAATCTTTCCCTGAAAATTATCCTTTTCAAAGGACTACAATCCCTGAAAATTTCAGCTCATTGACACTTATAGTTCCTGAGATAAAATCGTGCTAAGCAATTGTGGTGATTTATCAATTTTTCAATTTTTCTGAGTGCCTTTTTCCATAGATTTTGGCTTCAAATCTGAGAATAATTTAGTTTATGGAGTTCAGGGTATCACGAGGGACCAATAGGACACAAAATCTCGACAAAAAAAAATTTGAAATTTCATCGTTTTAGTAGGAAGGTACCCCCCTTATGATTTTTTTGGAAAATTTTGAAAAGTCATAACTTTTTTTCTATTATAGATAGAAAGCTGAATCTTTCCCTGAAAATTATCCTTTTCAAAGGACTACAATCCCTGAAAATTTCAACTCATTGACACTTATAGTTCCTGAGATAAAATCGTGCTAAGCAATTGTGGTGATTTATCAATTTTTCTTTTTTTCTGAGTGCCTTTTTCCATAGATTTTGGCTTCAAATCTGAGAATAATTTAGTTTATGGAGTTCAGGGTATCACGAGGGACCAATAGGACACAAAATCCCGACAAAAAAAAATTTGATTTTTCATCGTTTTAGTAGGAAGGTACCCCCCTTATGATTTTTTTGGAAAATTTTGAAAAGTCATAACTTTTTTTCTATTATAGATAGAAAGCTGAATCTTTCACTGAAAATTATCCTTTTCAAAGGACTACAATCCCTGAAAATTTCAGCTCATTTGCACTTATAGTTCCTGAGATAAAATCGTGCTAAGCAATTGTGGTGATTTATCAATTTTTCAATTTTTCTGAGTGCCTTTTTCCATAGATTTTGGCTTCAAATCTGAGAATAATTTAGTTTATGGAGTTCAGGGTATCACGAGGGACCAATAGGACACAAAATCTCGACAAAAAAAAATTTGAAATTTCATCGTTTTAGTAGGAAGGTACCCCCCTTATGATTTTTTTGGAAAATTTTGAAAAGTCATAACTTTTTTTCTATTATAGATAGAAAGCTGAATCTTTCACTGAAAATTATCCTTTTCAAAGGACTACAATCCCTGAAAATTTCAGCTCATTTGCACTTATAGTTCCTGAGATAAAATCGTATTAAGCAATTTGGGGTGATTTATCAAGTTTTCAATTTTTCTGAGTGCCTTTTTTCATAGAATTCGGCTTCAAATCTGAGAATAATTTAGTCTATGGAGTTTGGGGTATGTTGATTGACCATTGCGTCGTGATTGCGGTGACGCTATCACGACGCCGACGATTCCACGACGCGTGAGCCCACGCCTTCTCGTCTTCCTGATATTTCTCGTAGCTAAATAACCCGACGCTACCAACTCCAGGATATCCAGGTGGGTTTGCTCTAATTTACCTTAACCGTCCCAGGCTCGAAAAGCTCTTCGTTCATACGCGGAATCGTCCTAAACTCCCTAAAAAGCCAAATCACTAGTACATTTGATAAAATCAATCAAGTAATTAGTTATATATATTTTACTTTAATTAAGTAATTAGTTATTAATTTTTCTTATAAATATTGCAACCGTGTTAGCCGAAGCATATATGCAAAGGACGTTGCGTACCTATTTGGTTCTATTTTATTTAGTTGGAAAGTATTCAACAATTTCACCTGGTAATTTAATTAAATTGATTTGAATAATACCGATCTGATAATAATGATTACATTATACTGAAAATATTTAAATCAAGTACAGTGAATCTCGGCAAATTTAAATAAAATACCCCTTTATTATTTACGACAGAGTTTGATTTTCAAATTGTGTGAAATCCTTTAGGTTTCCCGTTTTAGATGTTTTTCAGTTAACGTTCTACCTTACTTTAGGGCCATAAAACGGGTGGCGTCCAAAATTATACCTATTTTCTAAAGTTTTCTTCTGATTTAACCCTCGACCACTCCCGACTAGAGTTTAGCTGGCATTCTCAGCCCTATAAGGTAGAAACCAAGTTCCTTTTCTTAAGCCCATTTGCGTAACCACCCTCATTCCGGTCATTTCCGTTTTGCTACCAGAGAGAAAAAATGTAGCAAGTGAATGACTTGAGGGGAAGAGAATCCAAGCAGGATGATTCGGCTGAAATTGACGTAAACACCTTCAACTCATATTACTGCAATATTGCAAGACATCTGTGGGGCAACATCCCTGAACAAACAGTCCCTGATCCTTTATCATTGTCCTCCTTGAGCAGTTTTTTTGTTCCTAACTCTTTCTTTTTCAACCCAGTTGTTTAATCAACATAAAATTTGAATTACACATTTCGAAATTTCTATATATTATTATAAAATCCACAATTTGTTATAAATTTGGCAAGGTAATCAAAGTATCACAAACCTTGCCCAAATTTACTAAAAAACCACGATTCATCATTCACGGCGTCAGTTACCTTATTGTTCGTCGATTTTAATCTGATACTCGGACGGAATGTAAGCGGTTGGCTCCCTACATTAAAACGCCAATGGTTACCTGACGTCACACCTGTTTTTGCCATATGAAACACCCCCTCGCTCCTCATACCGCAAGTATCAGTTAAAAATCGACGAACAATAATTTCCGTAATGATACAGTGTAGCGCCAATGTTTTAGATACCTGCCTAAACAAGGTCAACACACAGTTCATTGTTATTAGCTATGATAAATATAATAAGGTTCAAGTTGAAATGTACAATATAAATAGGAACCAATTTGATTAATAAAACCAGTATTGAACAATATTAGTTGGGTACTCATTTAATTACGCAAATTAGTCATTTGTGATAATTATCCATAAAGTCCATCTCAAGAGCTTTGTACTCGTTATCTTGGTAACTAGTGATCTTCAGGGAATTATTTCTGAACGTCACACCCAGAGATACGGACCTTGGAGGCCTTATAACCCTCTAATGAACTACAACAAAGGTTCCAACTCTGTTCACCAGTTACGGCAGAAGAATTTAAAAAATAGTATATTCTATCGAAATCTTCCTTGCCCTTCCGGACCCTGTCCTAAATGTTTTGGCAAATGCCATTAATAATTCAGTGAAAGCAGGTAATTTCCCAACCTTTTTAAAAAAAGCCAGGGAGATTCCAATTTTCAAGGGAGGAGAGAAAGAGTTACCCTCTAACTATCAACCAATATCATTGCTGCCTACGATAAGCAAGATAGTTGAAAAGCTCATTAAGGAGCGGATGGTGGTTTTCCTGGAGCAGAATGGGCTGTTATCTTGCAATCAGTTTGGATTCCAATCTTCGAAAAATACGAGTGATGCCATTTTCAATGTCCTGAAGCAGGTATACCTCAGACTTAATGAGGGTGAGAATGCCGCACCGGTGTTTTGTGACTTTACAAAGGCTTTTGACGAGATACTGCTGCACAAACTCGAACTCTATGGTTTTAGGGGTGTTGTCCTGCGTTGGTTTGACAGAGAAGTCAGAGTGTTGTCTCTCGGAATAGCGTTTCCGGTAGCTTAAGTTCCGCAAGGGTCTGTTTTGGGGCCATTGTTGTTTTTACTAATATGTTAATGATATTTCTGCAATTGTAAAGAGTGGTTTATGAACTTCATTTGCAGATGATACCACAATAGTTTGGCATCATAAAGACACTGTCCTACTGACTGCTATAGTAAACGATAACTTAGCAAGAATCGAAATGTGGTGTGACTCCAATCGGCTCTCATTTATTTAATATTCAAAAAACATCCATCATGAATTTTAAGTGTAATCTTGGTAGTGTTTTTCTGGATGATGCCATTATATGCATAGGCATGGAGACCAAATATCTTGGACTGATTGTTGATGATCAGCTCAGGTTTGACAAACACACTGAGCATTTATGTAAAAAAATATCATCAGCATGCTTTACTGTTAGAACTGTCAAGGCTGAGCTGGGTGAATTGGTTGCTAGACGAGTGTATTTTTCTTTAATCGAGTCACATCTTAGTTATGGCATTTGCTTCTGAGGTTCTTGCTCATTACCCATTGTTCAACATCATATTTGTTCTCCAGAAGCGTGCTATAAAGTCGTTATGTGGTCTTAGTCTACGGAACTCTTGCAGACCATTCTTTATAGGCAGGCGTATTTCAACCTTGCCTTGTATCTTGATTTCAGAATTAGCGTGTCTCGTGCAGAAGAAGTACTCCTCTTATATTCATTGATCTACCAATCTCCACATCCTCGCTAACTCAAATATCTATTCGCTATAGGAGTAAAAAAAAATTCAATCACCTAGGTACCTCATAGCTAAGGCTTTTTATTCTGTAAAGGAATAATACTTCTCATCTCCTCTGTTTAATGGTTAATAATTTTAAGTTTTGATTTTAAGTTTCTTTTTAATTTTAATGTTGAGCAGTCTTTCAGTCTTGCTTTAATGCTCTTAATCTCACATTTTAACTCTGGACTATGTAATCCAATGAGGACGTTTCCAAAATAAAAAATTTCCAACCTGGAAATGTTAAAATATTATTATACTATTCAGAATTTAAAATGGCAGAAGACGATTTGCATTAAAACAAAAAAATAGTCTTCTGAATTTGAAAAATAAGCTAAATCGTTCTCGCATTGATGCAGGTTGTCTTTATTCCGTCGAGAAAACTTTATCGTCTGCTTTCTGCTAGTGAAGGGAATTTTCGCCCCTCAAAGATTTATTTAAGATTTTTTCCTTTTGCTTTGCCCGGCCGTTCTTTGAACTGGGGATCATCCTTAGTTTTTTTTTTCAAGACCATCCTTAGGGAGTTTCTATATTCTCGACTAAAGGTTTTAGTTATTAGCGTCTCAAAAAAAAATCCATAATCATAAACAGGAAATAGGTAGTTAATTATTATTATTTTGTATCTTAAAACGTTCATAATTTTTACCGATAATTTTTTTATATTAATGGTATAAGTGGATAAGGATTTTGTATTTAAACATTTTCCAATAATAATGGCATCCGCATTTTGAAACAATGAACTCGTTATTATTATTTTCGAATTATTTTATTGCCACAATTTATTGTGCCAACATTTTAGTAATTTCAGATATTGGCATTGTTAGTCACACAGTCATGCTAAAAAAAATTGCCAAAGATTTAGCTGAAAAGGGCCACAATATCGATATGGTTTCACATTTTCCTTTGGAAAAGCCTCTAGAAAGGTAATTAATTATTTTTATAAAACAAGTCTTTAGTAAATTGTTTTAAAGATATATTGATATAAATATTTCCAACGAATCCACCATTTTAACCAACCAATTAACCATAAACCAAATGAAATCAATGACAACAAAAACCAAGATAATGAGTATAATGGAAAAAGTGGGTTTGCCAGCATGTAAATTAGTCTTTGAAAACCCAAAATTGCAACAACTTAAAAAGACTAAAAAAAAGTACGATTTATTGATCGCAGAATTTTTTGCCACCGATTGCATGTTGGGCTGGGGATGGTACTTTGACGTACCAACAATATTGGTGACTAGCAGTTATCCTAAACCGTCGAGAGTTGAACGTTTTGGACTTCCGGAAAGTACCGGGTACATTCCTACGGGATTTGCTCAAGGATTTAGCACGGAAATGTCATTATTTGATAGGATTGTGAATACTTGGCAATATATTGAAGCTACATATGTGTGAGTACCTTAATTATAAAATCACTAATTAGTCCTGATATAATTATTGTTTTTTATAGTATTAATAGTTATAATGAAATAATCGATGAAACAACTAGAGACTTTTTTGGACCAGAAATGCCTTCTCTTAGTGATTTGGCTTACAACAGTAGTCTACTGTTGATGAATACACATTTCAGTATCCATTTTGCCAGGCCATTGGTACCAAATGTTGTTGAAGTGGCGGGGTTACATATTGAGGAACCACAACCCTTAAACCAGATAAAACAATTAAAAATCAGTATTATCCAATAAATATCAAATCATTGTAGTATTATGATAATTTGCTGGGTAACGATACAAAAGGAGTAATATATTTCTCTATGGGTTCACTATTGGCCATCGAGTCTTTTTCTATAGATTCACTACAAGACATATTTGATGTTTTTGCTCCGTTACCCTATAAGGGTATATGGAGAGCAAAGCAGGAGGCTTTACCAAAAAATTTGAATATTTCAAAAAATGTTTATTTCGAAAATTGGGTGCCACAGCTGGACCTTTTGTGTAAAAGTTTTATTTATCATTCTGGATTAATTGATTCTTCAATAATATGTAGGTGATTCGAGAGTCAAACTTTTTATTTCCCATGGCGGTATGATGAGTACTCAAGAAGCAATATATTGTGCAGTACCAATTTTAGGAATTCCCATATTTGGCGATCAGTTTTTGAACATGAAACAGATTGAAGATTCAGGAAATGGACTAACGATAAAAGATTTGAGCAAAAGGAATTTGATGAGTTCAATTGAGGAACTTTTGCACGATTCAAAGTAGGAAATATTCATATTGCAAATATGTTTTTCTACAACTGACAAGTAATGTCATTATTATTTTACGGTATTTAATGCGACAAATGTGTCATTTTTTAACAGGTGATAATTTTCCAAAGCAACGTGCGCTAAAAATTTCGCACCCTAGTGCGCGAAATATTTTAGAGCACTAGTGCGCGAAATATTTCAAAAAACAAAAAATACTCTGAATTAATTGAACTGTAATAATTTTTTTATTTTATTTATTATTAACAATATGAATAGTACAATTATTGCAGTTACTGATAGTAATTCCTGTTGATGTTGATTTCGCTGAAATATCTGAAGACACTCTTGTTGTGGATGGTGCAATTACTGACTCAACATTTGGAAGAGTTGAATGATCACTACCATTATCATAATAATTTTCACCAGAGTCCTCATTTGTACTGCTTGAAATACGTTTCGCAATTTCCATTTTATTTTGCACAGAATCCTCGACATATTCTTCTGCAACCATTGTGGACTTCCAGCCTCCGTGCCGCTTCAACATGGTAATATCAGCTCCGGTGTTGGCTAATAAAGTTGCCGAAGTACGGCGAAAACAGTGGCCGGTATACAATTCAGTTTGAGGTAGACCAAGAAATTTTGCTATCATACTAGGAGCTGCCCCTATTTTATTTATGCCAACAACTTGGTTTGTGCACTTTCCTTTCTGATAGTTAATGAAGAATCGTTTGCAGCTTACATGAGGGGGCCGAAATTCTGCATATGTCCGGAATATTCGAATGTATTCAGGATTGATGATTGTGAATATTCGTTGGGCATTAGTTTTAGTATCTGGAACAGTAATTATTAACACGGATCATTCATCTTGAAAATCATCAACGGTCATTTTGACAAGTTCATCACGCCGGAGCTCCAGAAACTCCAATGATGAGCAGAACTTTGGACAGAAGGTAAGAGTCATCTGGAGCAGTAGTTAGAAATTTGGAAATATCCGCACTTGTGAATAGCTTGGATTTTTTTGTTCGATATCCTATCATCTGTTTTTTGAGGAATGGGACTATCTTCAAGTATTTTGTAACATCTACGTTTTCTTTAACGTTTAAGGTAGATTTGAGCATGGAGTAAGTGGACCACAATGTAGACCCTTTTACAGATTTTGCCTTTTCAGCTAAATAGGCCAAAAGAACGTTTTCACATACCGATCCAACGTTTTTTTCTTTTCGATATTTGAGAAACTGATCATATGCTTTTTCATAATGTATTCTGGACTTGGATGGAAGAAGGTCCTGTACTGCCTCATTTGCGACTCGTGCAACATCTGGTGGAGTACCAGATATTTCTATTTCTTCAACTGAAGATAACATTTTGTGAATCGAAATTATTATTTTTTGACAAATGTCAAACATTTACACGTAGATCCGTCACATACCAAACGTTACTTTGAAAATTTTCTATTTGAAAGCAAGTATGTATACATAATCGCAAAAGTAATTGTAAAATTTCAGATGCTGCAGTTGTAGAAAAAATAATGTATACAACTCGGTTGCGAACGAATTTCGCGGCTTCGCTTCATATTATGACTCGGCTTTGCCTCGTCATAATATTTGCTCATGCGCGAAATTCTATTTCGCAACCTTGTTATATAAATAACTATTTTTAAATTTAGATTAATTTTAGGTATTCGAACAGTGCAAAAGAAGTTTCTAAACTTTTCAAAGATCGCCCAATGTCGGCTAAAGACACAGCGATTTATTGGATTGAGTACGTTTTGCGACATAGAGGTGCTCCCAAATTGCAAAGTTATGCTAAACAACTTGCATGGTATCAATACTATCTTTTAGATCTAATTGCCATTGTTGTTTGTATTATTTTTACCATTATTTTATCTCTATTGCTTTTTATAAAGCGTATTTTTCTGTCTAGAGAAATAAAACTAAAACATTTGTGACATGTCTCTCGATTTATATCCCTTTTTTCTATTGTCTCCTCGAGCCCAAGAAGAAAATAAATCATAATCTAAGCAAAATTGATATGAATAATATTTGTTCAGTGATTTTATTACCTGTAACAGTTAGTAGCCATCAATATCCAACTTAATAGTTTGCAACAACAAATTATCCAAATCTTCTGCTAAGCTTGACAGTATCTGAAAATAACGAAATTTTGTGGTTATAGTAGAGGAGCTGGCAGGTTTTTCGGTAAACGATATTTATCAAAATTCTTATTAATAAAACATGATTGTAAGTTATCTGTACATATCGAATCTGACCGTCTGCCGTTTCAGGGTCGCAGCTTTAATCAGGGGTTAAATTTTAAAATGGTATGAATTTTCATTTTGGTAATAGAGCAGGCGCTACAAGTAGTTGAGTATGCAAAATATGAGGACCGGCAAAAATGCTCAAATTCGTATTCCTGTGATCCCAAAGAATAGGCCAGTGCAGTTATGAAATTTACAATGTTGAAAATGCAATTTTTTTTATAAAGCTGCGACTATCAAAAATAAGTAGCCCTAGTACCCCTTATTAACATACTAAAAGTCTCCATGCCTCCAACTGTTGCGTCACCAAAAAAAGTCGTCCACCATCTTGAATTGCAGCACTGTTTGGGAAAAATCGTGATTAACGGTAAATTTTTTTGAAAAAAAATGAAGATATGAAAATTGAAGAGAATTAAAAAATCTATCAGATACAATGAAAAGTAATTTTGTATGTATGTATGAATTTTCAATTCTGTTAATTATTCGGTTTTGATAATTTAATTATTTAAGGTGCGAAAATCGCAGAACAAAACAAAATGTTATGACTTTGGTTTCATGTTTTCAATTCAGTCAACATTTATTTGCCTCTGATAATAAAATTTAAAAGAAAATAAATGCAAAATACACCTGTCAGTTTTTGAGTTTTATATCGGAGAATCAGAGATCATGTTATGAAATGATATTTTCATGTTTCGACCAGGAAAATCAGCAAAACCTAACAGAGTAACTGATATTGGTATTATGCAAATAAAAATTGGTGACATGAAACATTCCATCTTGTTTGCACATGCTGTCTCAGGATGTGACACAACATACTGCTTGTTTAAAAAGGGGAAAGTGGCGACTTTGGAGAAAGATTCTCATTTACGACAAAGTACAGTCGTGAGCATAACAAGTGGGACACCCCTGTCAGTCGGGTGTCATTTTTCGCTTTTTTGGGTAAATCAGTCTTTTGTCTACAATGGATTTTTTGTCAAATATAACAATCCCTGTCATTGGCCGTAGGTATAGCTGATGAGCTCGTTTTACAATAGGAAAAAACGGGTGCCCACTTTTTATGCTCACGACTGTAAATCAATTTTTTTAGATTTTTCTGCAAATAAATCTGAAATAGTCAAAATTCAATATTGGCTTAATAATAAAAAAGAACCAACACATTGGGGTTGGGATGAAAAAAAAAGACACGTTGGTTCCAAAAACTATGTCAAAAGCAGTGGCACCTGATTTTGTTCTGAATATGATGCAACTGCAAGTCAGGATGTAACAAATTATGCACATGTATAAAGTCGAATATTCCGTGTTCAATCCTATTTGGTAATTGTAATGGCATTTCTTGTGACAACAAACAAATTTCCGTAAATGAAGAGCAATTCGAATAAGATGGAATAAATTGTATCCCAGTTTTAGATTGTATTCACTTTGAATGGTAACAGAAAGGCCTTGGTTCACTCTCATGATGTTGTTTGGTATTAGAAAGTTAATTGTCACTTATAATTACACGAGAGCTTTTTTTTTGTCAAAGTAAACTTGATATTTCAATGAGAATTTTGTTACCTAAAAATTTATCTAAAAAAAAAACTGCCTCTGAAAAAAGTCCAAGAAATATCGCAAGACTTAAGATTCCCCTGTGTTTGCGCCTTAGGGCCAGTAGAAGAAGCTCTAGACGGAAACCCTTCACTCACCATCAATTGTGACAGGGTAGTTTTTCCAATGGACGTGACTTTTATTCCTTACGGAGCACCTGTAGTGTCTTTTGTACAACGTCATGCTGGACACCAATCTTTACCGAGTCAAGTAAGAATTTCAATAATTTTTGTTCTATACATTTATTTATTTTTTCTTAGGTACCTATTTACTTCTGGCCTACCTTTACGTTCTTTAGACCTGTCACATAACTCTTTGCGAAAACTCAACGAGCGTATGTTACAATGTGTTCAAAATACCCTTACTGAATTGCATTTGGCATTAGGATTAGAGTCCATAGCCGAGCCTAAAGACAACAAAACTCGAATTATTAATGTAAAGTTTCCTTTTCGACAAAAGAAAAAGCTTGAGTGTTCGACTCAAATAATTTCTAAATATTTTTGATACTACAGGCGTCCATAATAAGGTAATGGAAAAAAACTTTCTTTTACACACGACGATAAAATGCCATTATCGTCTCCCGGAATTAATTCACTCGCGGTTCCGCTCGTGAATTAACTTTTCCGGTCAACGATAAACTACCATTTTATCGTCTTGTATAAATAATAACTATTATTGGGATTGAAAAAATGCATTAACTGCATTATGGTCTGGTTCTCTTGATTTTGCTAAATTTCAAAAAATTCTAGATTGTTACTACGTTATGGTACGCATTCAATTTTTATGATACCTTTTTCAGTTTTTCATTCTATTCAATTTTTCTTTTTTTAATTTTTTTCGATAGAATGTACCGTTTTTGACTTATTCAGGATTTTTTCCGAAAAGTGCCGAAATTCAAGATGGCGGATTGTTTTTTCTAATGACGCAACAACCGGACGAATGGGGACTTTTGGTATGTTTACTAGGAGTACTAAAGCTATCTATTTTTGATAGTTGCAGCTTTATAAAAAATTTTGCAAATTCAAAATTATTCGCACTGGCCTAGAATGGTAAAGTACAGGGAGTTTTTTTATACACAGTGTGTAAAAAGTCTCGTAACAGTTAATTATTTCGAAAATGGTGCACAATATAAAAAAAACTTTCTGTATAAAAGTTGAAGGTCTTATTGAAATCTATTGAAATAGGACTTATGTAATTATACAGGGTGGCCCAAAAAGTTGTGCTACACAAAACTTCATTTTTTTTAAATGGAATTATACTTTTTTAATTAAATTTTCTAATTCCTCTAGAGATTCTAAACAACAATTATGAAACATGTCATATGGCTAAACCCATTAGTTTCAGAAATAATTTGAGTTGAAGGACATAAATACGATAAGTACGATATTACTTACATTTTGCATTGTTTCGAGTTGCTCCAAAATGGTCACCAGACCTAACGAGCCTTGATTATTTTCTTTGGGGACATCTGAAAAATAAAGTGTTTGTGACAAAACCTCCAGATCTGAACGAATTGATGAGAAGAAGAATTATTCAAGAATGTGCATCTATTAACCAAGAAATGTTACAAAACGTCATCAATAAATTTTATTATAAACATTTTGAACCAAGTCGAAACAATGCAAAATGTAGGTAATATCGTACTTATCGTATTTATGTCCTTCAACTCAAATTATTTCTGAAACTAATGGGTTTAGCCATATGACATGTTTCATAATTGACCTTTTCAATTTAAAAGCCTCTCTCTCTGGCGTCAAACTGTCAGACGCCAAAAGAGTATGAAAACAACGGTTGACAGCCACTGACAGTGGTTTGTTGACAAGACTTTTGTACATGTGGAAACTGAAAACTATTATTTCCTCGGTTTTTTCAAAGTTTTTTCCTAACAATGGTGATTGTGTAGTGTGCCTTTTTGTAAAAATAATTCCTATTTACCGGCGGACGTGTCTCTCCATAAGTTTCCATCAAATCCTACCTTTGTCAAATTTTGGATACAAAAAATCAGAAAGAATACTCGCAAAAAAAAAGGGAAATTCACGGCCTATCAAGTATACAAAGTAATCCACGTTCAAGTTTAGTTTGCGGGAGCTGTTTGCTTCCAAAATAATCCACCGCTTTCTCCATAGCGAAGTTCTGCAAATGAAGTAGTGACTTTTCCCACATTTTTTTTCAAAACACCCAATACACACTGGCATTGACAAGCAAGCAAATGTTGGCGGGAAAATGATTGTTTTCATACTTTATTGTCTATCTCTTTTAATTGAAAACGTCAATTGTTGTTTAGAATCTCTAGAGGAATTAGAAAATGTAATAGACCTATCTATTTTTACCTGTATGCGCGCGCAACACGAGGCAATGCATTTTTATTGGCTAACTAGTACAGGTGTGAAGTAATCCTTTTGCACACTGGGCATTTCCTTATCCTTGTTCATTGCCCATGGTCTGACAAGAATGAAATTATGCTTGATATTCAACTTGACGTAGCTTGACAAGTGATCGATTTTCAATTCTTTGTGTTTTTGATTGACAAATACGTTGCACGTCACGCGGTTTTCCTCCTTCCTTTTTTATCTCGTGCAGATAATAAGAACGGATTGCTATACGTAAGTCTAACATAATTTGGTACGTTTTGCCTCGTCTTGCGCAATAAGCGTTCTGCGTCTTTTTCTATCTAATAAAGTTTTCGTATTATTACCTCTTTGTCTGGTAAAATAGATAGGTCTATTAAAAAAGTATCATTCCATTAAAAAACAATGAAGTTTTGTGTAGCACAACTTTTTGGGCCACCCTGTATAATTACAAAAGTCCTATATCAATAGATTTTATTAAGACCTTCAACTTTTATACAGGAAGTTTTTTTATATTGTGCACCATTTTCAAAATTATTGACTGTTCCGGTACTTTTTACACACTGTGTATATTGACACCCCACCTACATCATTTACCTTTACAGATAGAACAAAGGTGTAAATACAAAAGTTGTACAGTTTTGGCTAAATTTTTAGAATCCATGGTCAGAAACCAAAATTGAATGTCAGAAATGGGAAATGCTTTCAGTTTTTTTCAAATGGGATGCCCTATATTTGGTTCTATATTCTTGAAGAGTA